CTCTCCTCCCCACTGCTGTGATGACACACCAGGATGAGTAAACTCCAGAGGTTGCCTCTCCTCCCCACTGCTGTGATGACACACCAGGATGAGTAAACTCCAGAGGTTGCCTCTCCTCCCCACTGCTGTGATGACACACCAGGATGAGTAAACTCCAGAGGTTGCCTCTCCTCCCCACTGCTGTGATGACACACCAGGATGAGTAAACTCCAGAGGTTGCCTCTCCTCCCCACTGCTGTGATGACACACCAGGATGAGTAAACTCCAGAGGTTGCCTCTCCTCCCCACTGCTGTGATGACACACCAGGATGAGTAAACTCCAGAGGTTGCCTCTCCTCCCCACTGCTGTGATGACACACCAGGATGAGTAAACTCCAGAGGTTGCCTCTCCTCCCCACTGCTGTGATGACACACCAGGATGAGTAAACTCCAGAGGTTGCCTCTCCTCCCCACTGCTGTGATGACACACCAGGATGAGTAAACTCCAGAGGTTGCCTCTCCTCCCCACTGCTGTGATGACACACCAGGATGAGTAAACTCCAGAGGTTGCCTCTCCTCCCCACTGCTGTGATGACACACCAGGATGAGTAAACTCCAGAGGTTGCCTCTCCTCCCCACTGCTGTGATGACACACCAGGATGAGTAAACTCCAGAGGTTGCCTCTCCTCCCCACTGCTGTGATGACACACCAGGATGAGTAAACTCCAGAGGTTGCCTCTCCTCCCCACTGCTGTGATGACACACCAGGATGAGTAAACTCCAGAGGTTGCCTCTCCTCCCCACTGCTGTGATGACACACCAGGATGAGTAAACTCCAGAGGTTGCCTCTCCTCCCCACTGCTGTGATGACACACCAGGATGAGTAAACTCCAGAGGTTGCCTCTCCTCCCCACTGCTGTGATGACACACCAGGATGAGTAAACTCCAGAGGTTGCCTCTCCTCCCCACTGCTGTGATGACACACCAGGATGAGTAAACTCCAGAGGTTGCCTCTCCTCCCCACTGCTGTGATGACACACCAGGATGAGTAAACTCCAGAGGTTGCCTCTCCTCCCCACTGCTGTGATGACACACCAGGATGAGTAAACTCCAGAGGTTGTCTGTCCTCCCCCCGCTGCTGTTATGACACACCAGGAGGAGTAAACTCCAGAGGTTGTCTCTTCTCCCCCCCTTGGTCGTAACTTGGAAACAATTAAGATACCCTACCTATAACCAAATGAACACATTCATGTTATGAGGATTAGTTATTGGGGTATTGCCATGCCCCCCTACACTTGCAATATTATTTTTGATAGAACATTTTTGATTTTTGTGTAAATAACTAGGAGAAATACAGGCCATTTAAGCCTTCTGTTTAATTAAGAATACTCTAAGTAGTTTTCAGCATTATCCCAAAATACTAAGGTGTTCATTTTTTTTTTCTTTTGTGATTTGACATTTTGTCTTTTGTAATGATACTTGAAACAGACTTAATTTTCTTATGCTTTCAGGGTCCCAGAAGCATAAATTTGAACTCTGCCTTCCCACCAAGGAGACTGGTAACGCTTTGACAGTTCATCATCTACAGGAAAAAGTCCAGCAATTGACAGAAGTTCCTGCAGAAAATCAGAAACTGATATTTAAAGGTTTTCATTCAACAAGTTTGATTATTTATCAGTTAATGAAAAATGATATATAAAGATAAAAAAAAAATATGAATATATATACTTTTTAGGTCATCTGAGCTTTGCTCAAGTATCCTATTCTGATCGCTTTTTCTCTGTCGTCGTGCGTAAACTTTTTACATTTTCGACTTCTTCTCAAGAACAAGTGGAAAGATTTTTTTTCAAACTTGGTCAGAATCATCCTTGGTAGATGAGGCTACAAAATTGGGAGACATACCCCAACCCCAGGGGCCAGGGCGGGGCCCCAAAGGGAAAATTAACCAATATTTCAAAAATCTTCTCCAGACTCAGAGGTACTACAGTCAATTTTTCTGCATGGATGGAAAGATCATCAGGGGCATAATTTAAATTGTAAAACTCAGTACCCCCAGGCCATCCGTTCTCCCTTGGGGAGGGGGTTAAGGTAACTACTGGCATACTGGTAGGTTATATAGGGAAACAACACTTTTGGGTATATTTTGTTCATTTTCAGTGGGAAATTATTCTTACTTGGTGAGAATCATCCTTGGAGGAAGATGGTATCAAATTGTAAAATTGGGATTCCTACCCCAGGGCCAGGGCGGGGCCCCAAAGGGAAAATTAACCAATATTTCAAAAATCTTCTTCCCCAGACTCAGAGGTACTACAGTCATTTTCTCTGCATGTATGGAAAGATCATCAGGGGCTTTGTTTAAATTGTAAATTTCAGTATTCCCGGGCCATCCCTTCTCCCTTGGGGAGGGGGTAAAGTTTACTATAATTTATTAGTTCACCTGGCCCGAAGTGAGCTAATGGCATGGTACTGCGTCTGTCGTCTGTCCATCGTCAACATTTTACTTTAAAACATCTTCCTCTCAGTAACCAAATGGCCTAGGGTGATGATATTTGGCCAGAAGAATGTTGGGATGAAGGGCTACCAAATTTGTTCAAATAAATGACCTTCATCCATTTTCAAGGTCACAGGGGTCAAATATGTTAAATTCTTTAAATTTTCTTCTGAATAACCAAGAGGCATAGGGTGATGATATTTGGCCAGTAACATGCTGGGATGAAGGGCTACCAATTTTGTTCAAATAAATGACCTTGGTTTATATTCAAGGTCACATGGGTCAAATATGTTTAAAACCTTTCAACATCTTCTTCTGAATGGCCAATAGGCCTAGGGTGCTTAAATTTGGCGAGTACCATGCTGGGATGAAGGGCTACCAAGTTTGTTTAAATAAATGACCTTGATTTATATTCAAGGTCACAGAGGTCAAATATGTTCCAAACATTTAAACATCTTCTTCTGAATAACCAGGAGGCCTAAGGTGATGATATTTTGCCAGTAGCATGCTGGGATGAAGGGCTATCAAGTTTGTTCAAATAAATGACCTTCATCTATTTTCAAGGTCACAGGGGTCAAATATAAATATGTTTAAAACCTTTAAACAACTTCTTCTGAATTACCAAAATGCCCAGGGTAATGATATTTGGCCAGTAGCATGCTGGGATGAAGGGCTACCAAATTTGTTCAAATGAATGACCTTGACCAACTTTCAAGGTCACGGGTGTCAAATGTCTTAAAATCTTAAACATCTTCTTCTTAATAACCAAAAGGCCCAGGGTACTGATATTTGGCCTGTAGCATCAGGGCTACCAAATTTGTTCAAATGAATGACCATGACCCACTTTCAACCTAATGTCATTGTTTGACATTCAAGGTCACACTGATATTCTGCCTGTAGCTGTATTTTAGTCCACTTTTAAGATTACAAGTGTGAGATTAATACCAGGTGAGCGATTCAGGCCCATTGGGCCTCTTGTATAGGGAAATAACACTTTTGTGCATATGTTTACAATTGTCTGTAGGAAATTAGGCTTACTTGGTGAGAATTATCCTTGGAGGAAGATGGTTTTAAAATGTAAAATTGGGATTCCTGCCCCAACCCTAGGGGCCAGGGCGGGACCCCAAAGGGAAAATTTACCAATATTTAAAAAAATTCTTCCCGAGACTCCAGAGGTACTACAGTCATGTGATGACATGACAAGTTTTGTATTTCACTTTGTTTACATGTTGTTTTCTACATCTCAACAATGAAATTGAGGTACTAGTACCTATACTATAACTCAAGTGACCACTAAGGCCCTTGGGCCTCTTGTTTTATGAAGTCAGTGGTACATTTGATGAAGACACTGGAGTCAAAGAGATCTGAGATGTCATACTTGCTCAGGATTTTCTTTGTGGAATAAAATTTGTCTCTAACTGTAACATGTTTTAGAATATCATAAATCCTCAGTTATTAGGTGCTGATATACAATAACATGTTGTTATCACAGGGAAGTCTTTGACTGGTCCAGGAACGTCTTTGTCTGAGTTTGGCCTGAAGGATGGCGTTAAAGTAATGTTGATAGGCAAGAAGGTATGTGGTCATTTATGTCTTTGTTTTAAGAAGTTAACAGGGTTCTGAGGGAATTTAGAATTATCGTTTGTGTGTTCTAAAGGAAGTAAGTCATGTTGTGATATTGCTAAGGCATTTCATCCAGAGTTAAATCTTCAAAAAGCTTTTAAGAAACCTAAATGGCTGAAGTCATCATTATTTACTCAGTCACCCCTGAAGACACATTTGAACACTTCCAATTCAAAGGATTGAATAGATCATTATGAAATTTCAGGGGTGAATGAGTTAAGTATATATATTGTTTGTTGGAGTTGAGGGATCACAAGTTTGTTGGAATAATTATTTCTCCCACACTAAGTAAAAGAGACATGGTTTTAACTCTTGCCAGGACCGTAACTTTAAACCTAAAACAAACCTCTAACTTAACCTGCATCACCAGTGGAAGGTGTGCATTGTATTGAAATTGGTCACTGTCTTCACCTCAAGGTCAAAGATGAAATAAGTGAAAAATTCTAGTGTGATCTTGTTGGAAATGTAATTTTCAAACCATGAAAGATATCTTAGTAAAATATTGAAGTTTAACTGCAAAGCAGATGCGAAGTGTAATGTAAGAAGGTCAGATCGACCTTGACCTCAAGGTTAACTGTTAAAGGTACTTTGATAAAACCTGAAGTAATATGTGTTCACTTGCATCACCCCCAAGAGGGGCCAAACGGCACAATAATTAGGTCACTGTGGCATTCACTGACATGTCATAGCTCAAATAAGTGCAAAATTTCAATTGAAATTTGAAGTATACCCACATCTGGAGGTGTGCAGTACACTGATTAATCATGTGGCCTTGGCCCACTTGTATAAAACATCTCAACTCTCAAGTCTAAATCTTAACTTTGAGATGTTTTATACAAGTGGTCCCATAACCTCAAGGCCAAAAGTCAAATCAATGTAAAATTTCTAGCGAAATCATGTCAGGGCCATAAGTTTAAAAACTTTTAAATATAATTTGATTAAACTTAGGTATATCTCCATCAGTCATAAAACCTTTGCATTACATTGAAGGCAGGTCACAATAAACTTTACCTCTTGGTCAAAAGGCAAATAAATGTATAGTTTTCAGTGAAACCTTGTCTTGACTGTAAATTTTAAACCATTGAATCTATTTCATTGAAACTTGATCAATGCCAGAAGGTATGGAGTGCTTTATATTCAGGTCACTGTGACCTTCACCTCTAGGTCATAGGTCAAATACATGCAAAGTAAATATGCATATTGGCTAATTGGGGAGATGAATATTTTCTTCACAAGAACAAAATCTCTAACATTATTTTCATAGTTATGGGGGATCTGTTGTGTAAAAATCATAAAATAGCTTCTACTGAAGCATGCTGCCTAGGGTCATTATATTCAGTAGAGCTGAGATGGAGTCTATCAAGCTTGTTAAAATAAATTACCTTGACACACATTTCTACCAAATGTTGTTGCCAGGTGAGTAATACAGGCCCTATTGGACTGTTTTTACATTTAAAGCCTTTATAATCATGCAAAACATTACGTGGGAATTCCAGTAACTGAGACTCTGACATCAGGCTTTTTTTGTGAAATTTTCAAAACCCAACCTTTGAAAGAATCTCTACCTCAACCCCACATACATTTGTATATAAACGTATCAGAGGTATTATTTGTTAAACAATATAATTATTGAAATGTATCAACGCTTTTATATATGATTTATTGTCTCGCCACCGCGAAGTGGAAGCCAGACAGGTGTTGCTTTTCCAGCGACACCTGTCAACATTAAGTATTTTGTGTTCAAGTTAGTTTCTCTGAAAGTATTAGTGCTACACCAACCAAACTTGGACCATAGATGCATCTTAGGTAGTACATCTCAACCCATACATCAAATGCTGAATACAGCCTATATTTCATGGTCCACTGACTTTGTCAGCATCTCAATCAACATTAAGTTTTTGTGTTTAACTTAGTTTTTCTGATATGTGCATTGACGGTCAAAGCGGGGCATAGGCGAGATATATCAATCCGAATGGCTTGTTAGAAATATTATAAAGCTTAAGGAAAATTGTGTTTGTATTTGTGGACAGCCAGTTGCCAAAGATGACCCAGAGATGATGCGTCTGAAGACAGTCGCGACTAATCTTGGGAAGGAAGAGAAGGTGGTTAGTGACATCATATACAGGCTGGACGGGATACACAGGGTAAGATCCCATACAGGCTGGACAGGATACACAGGGTAAGGTCACATACAGGCTTGACGGGATACACAGGGTAAGATCACATTCAGGCTGGACGGGATACACAGGGTAAGACTACATACAGGCTGGACGGGATAAACAGGGTAAGGTCACATACAGGCTGGACGGGATAAACAGGGTAAGGTCACATACAGGCTGGACAGGATAAACAGGGTTAGGTCACATATAGGCTGGACGGGATACACAGGGTAAGGTCACATACATGCTTGACGGGATACACAGGGTAAGGTCACATACATGCTTGACGGGATACACAGGGTAAGGTCACATACAGGCTGGACAGGATACAAGGGGTTAGGTCACATACAGACTGGACGGGATACACAGGGTAAGATCACATTCAGGCTGGACGGGATACACAGGGTAAGACTACATACAGGCTGGACGGGATACACAGGGCAAGGTCACATACAGACTGGACGGGATACACAGGGTTAGGTCACATACAGGCTGGACGGGATACACTGGGTAAGGTCACATACAGGCTGGACAGGATACAAGGGGTTAGGTCACATACAGACTGGACGGGATACACAGGGTAAGATCACATTCAGGCTGGACGGGATACACAGGGTAAGATAAAATACAGGCTGAACGGGATACACAGGGTAAGGTCATATACAGACTGGACGGGATACACTGGGTAAGGTCACATGCAGGCTTGATGGGAGACACAGGGGAAGGTCACATACAGGCTGGACGGGATACACTGGGTAAGGTCACATACAGGCTGAACGGGATACACTGGGTAAGGTCACATACAGACTGGACGGGATACACAGGGTAAGGTCACATACAGGCTGAACGGGATACACTGGGTAAGGTCACATACAGACTGGACGGAAAACACGGGGTAAGGGCACATACAGGCTGAACGTGATACACAGGGTAAGGTCACACACAGGCTGGACAGGATACACAGGGTAAGATCACATATAGGCTGGACGGGATACACTGGGTAAAGTCACATATAGGCTGGACGGGATACACTGGGTAAGGTCACATACAGGCTTAACGGGATACACTGGGTAAGGTCACATACAGACTGGATGGGAAACACAGGGGAAGGTCACATACAGGCTGAACGTGATACACAGGGTAAGGCCACACACAGGCTTGACGGGATACACAGGGTAAGATCCCATACAGGCTGGACGGGATACACAGGGTCAGGTCACACCCAGGCTTGACGTGATACATACACAGGGTAAGGGCACACACAGGCTTGACGGGATACACTGGGTAAGGGCACATACAGGCTGAACGTGATACACAGGGTAAGGCCACACACAGGCTTGACGGGATACACTGGGTCAGGTCACATACAGACTGGACGGAAAACACAGGGTAAGGTCACATACAGGCTGGACAGAAGACACAGGGTAAGACCACACACAGGCTGGACAGTATACACAGGGTTAGGTCACATACAGGCTGGACAGGATACACAGGGTAAGGTCACACACGGGCTTGACGTGATACATACACAGGGTAAGGGCACACACAGGCTTGACGGGATACACTGGGGAAGATCACATACAGGCTGGATAGGATACATACACAGGGTAAGATCACATATAGGCTGGACGGGATACAGAGGGTAAGGTCACATACAGGCTGGACGGGCTCCACAGGGTAAGGTCACACACAGGCTTGAAGTGATACATACACAGGGTAAGGTCACACACAGGCTTGAAGTGATACATACACAGGGTAAGGTCACACACAGGCTTGACGGGATACACTGGGTAAGATCACATACAGGCTGGATAGGATACATACACAGGGTAAGATCACATACAGGCTGGATGGGATACACAGGGTAAGGTCACACACAGGCTTGACGTGATACATACACAGGGTAAGGATACACACAGGCTTGACGTGATACATACACAGGGTAAGATCACATACAGGCTGGATGGGATACACAGGGTAAGGTCACACACAGGCTTGACGTGATACATACACAGGGTAAGGTCACCCACAGGCTTGATGGGATACATACACAGGGTAAGATCACATACAGGCTGGACGGGATACACAGGGTAAGGTCACACACAGGCTTGACGTGATACACAGGGTAAGGTCACACACAGGCTGGAAGGGATACACAGGGTAAGGTCACATACATGCTTGACGGGATACACAGGGTAAGGTCACACACAGGCTGGACAGGATACACAGGGTAAGGTCACACACAGGCTGGACGGGATACACAGGGTTAGGTCACATACATGCTTGACGGGATACACAGGGTAAGGTCACACACAGGCTGGACAGGATACACAGGGTAAGGTCACACACAGGCTGGACGCGATATACAGGGTAAGGTCACATACAGGCTGGACGGAATACACAGGGTAAGATCACATACAGGCTGGACGGGATACACAGGGTAAGGTCACATACAGGCTTGACGGGATACACAGGGTAAGGTCACACACAGGCTGGACAGGATACACAGGGTAAGGTCACACACAGGCTGGACGCGATATACAGGGTAAGGTCACATACAGGCTGGACGGAATACACAGGGTAAGATCACATACAGGCTGGACGGGATACACAGGGTAAGGTCACATACAGGCTTGACGGGATACACAGGGTAAGGTCACACACAGGCTGGACAGGATACACAGGGTAAGGTCACACACAGGCTGGACGCGATATACAGGGTAAGGTCACATACAGGCTGGACGGAATACACAGGGTAAGATCACATACAGGCTGGACGGGATACACAGGGTAAGGTCACATACAGGCTTGACGGGATACACAGGGTAAGGTCACACACAGGCTGGACAGGATACACAGGGTAAGGTCACACACAGGCTCGACAGGATACACTGGGTAAGGTCACATACAGGCTGGACGGGATACACTGGGTAAGGTCACATACAGACTGGATGGGAAACACAGGGTAAGGTCACATACAGGCTGAACGTGATACACAGGGTAAGGTCACACACAGGCTTGACGGGATACACTGGGTAAGATCCCATACAGGCTGGACTGGATACACAGGGTAAGGTCACACACAGGCTTGACGGGATACACTGGGTAAGGTCACATACAGGCTGGACGGGATACATACACAGGGTAAGATCCCATACAGGCTGGACTGGATACACAGGGTAAGGTCACATACAGGCTGGACGGGATACACAGGGTAAGGTCACACACAGGCTTGACGTGATACATACACAGGGTAAGGTCACACACAGGCTTGACGGGATACACAGGGTAAGATCCCATACAGGCTGGACTGGATACACAGGGTAAGGTCACACACAGGCTTGACGGGATACACTGGGTAAGGTCACATACAGGCTGGACGGGATACATACACAGGGTAAGATCCCATACAGGCTGGACTGGATACACAGGGTAAGGTCACATACAGGCTGGACGGGATACACAGGGTAAGGTCACACACAGGCTTGACGTGATACATACACAGGGTAAGGTCACACACAGGCTTGACGGGATACACTGGGTAAGATCACATACAGGCTGGATAGGATACATACACAGGGTAAGATCACATACAGGCTGGACGGGATACACAGGGTAAGGTCACACACAGGCTTGACGTGATACATACACAGGGTAAGATCACATACAGGCTGGACAGGATACACAGGGTAAGGTCACACACAGGTTTGACAGGATACATACACAGGGTAAGATCACATACAGGCTGGACGGGATACACAGGGTAAGGTCACATACAGGCTGGACGGGATACACTGGGTAAGGTCACATACAGGCTGGACGGGATACACAGGGTAAGGTCACATACAGGCTGGACGGGATACACAGGGTAAGGTCACACACAGGCTGGACGTGATACATACACAGGGTAAGGTCACATACAGGCTGGACAGGATACACAGGGTAAGGTCACATACAGGCTGGACAGAATACACAGGGTAAGATCACATTCAGGCTGGACAGGATACACAGGGTAAGGTCACATACAGGCTGGACGGGATACACAGGGTAAGGTCACATACAGGCTGGACGGGATACACAGGGTAAGGTGAAATACAGGCTGAACGGGATACACAGGGTAAGGTCATATACAGGCTGGTTGGGATACACATGGTAAGGTCACATACAGGCTGGACAGGATACACAGGGTTAGGTCACATACAGGCTGGACGGAATACACAGGGTAAGGTCACATACAGACTGGACGGGAAACACAGGGTAAGGTCACATACAGGCTGAACATGATACACAGGGTAAGGTCACATACAGGCTGGACGAGATACACAGGGTAAGGTCACATACAGGCTGGACGGGATACACAGGTTAAGATCACATACAGGCTAGACGGGATACACAGGGTAAGATCACATACAGGCTGGTCGGGATACACAGGGTAAGACCACAAACAGGCTTGACGGGATACACTGGGTAAGGTAAAATACAGGCTGAACGGGATACACAGGGTAAGATCACATACAGGCTTGACGGGATACACAGGGTAAGGTCACACACAGGCTGGACGGGATACACAGGGTAAGGTCACATACAGGCTGGACGGGATACACAGGGTAAGATCACATACAGGCTGGACGGGATACAAATACAGGCTGAAGGGTACACTGGGTAAGGTAAAATACAGGCTGCACGGGATACACAGGGTAAGGTCATATACAGGCTGGTCGGGATACACAGGGTAAGGTCACATACAGACTTGACAGGATACACAGGGTAAGGTCACATACAGGCTGAATGCGATACATAGGGTTAAATCTCATACGGGCTTGACGGGATAAACAGGGTAAGGTCACATACAGGCTGAACATGATACACAGGGTAAGGTCACATACAGGCTGGACAGAATACACAGGGTAAGACCACATACAGGCTGGACGCGATACACAGGGTAAGATCACACACAGGCTGGACAGTATACACAGGGTAAGATCACATACAGGCTGGACGGGATACACAAGGTAAGATCACATACAGGCTTGATGGGAGACACAGGGTAAGGTCACATACAGACTGGACGCGATACACAGGGTAAGACCACATACAGGCTGGATAGGATACATACACAGGGTAAGGTCACATACAGGCTGGACGGGATACACAGGGTAACGGCCGACATTCACAGTGATATATCTAAAGCTAAGGTATAGCACTTGCTCTAACCTGAAAACATCTTGCCATTGATGTATGATTAGTGGATTTTTACAAAGTTGATGAAATGGTTAACATATCATTGTTTTGTGTGACATTTGTATTTTGTTTGACTTTTGAAAACAATTCCAATTTTGAACGAAATTTTATGGCATTTCACTTTTACTTTTGGGTTTGTTTTCAAGGGAAGGATCTTAGTCAAGATTTGTTACACTGGTTCTCAGGATCACAGTGTTCTCCTTGTGTGGGTTTAATAAGCATAATAAGATTTGTATTAAATCATACAGTACTGGTAGTATGATAAACTAATTATTACGATGTGTGTATCAAAACTACAAGTCTCCCTGTGGACATGTAAATACAGATGTATTGATTAACTGATAATATATCTTGTTCATGATTCATAATGTTTGCAGTAGATGGCCATATATGATATTAACTTATAATGCTAAATATGTTACTCTCAGAAAATAAAATATTATTATGATACAGAATGTACAATACATACATTTGAGAAAATGGGATTTCTAAAACTTTGCCAGGTACCGGCCGTTGGTCGGTGGTTTTTCTCCGGGAACCCGGCTTTCTTCCACCATCTAAACCTAACACGTCCTTAAATGACAATAGCTGTTAAAAGGACGTAAAACACAAACAAAAAACCAAATTCTAAATTTTTGCGATAAAAAACTATACTTCACAGGAAACCTACATGTAACTACAAGTTTGTTTGGCCTGTAGGACAGTCCCTGTCTAGTATAACCATGTCACTATTTCAGGGTTTCCTGGATGACCAGAAGAAACGTGATACACTGCTTCAGTTAGACAGACAGCTTAAGGTTGTCACAGAAAACTTCACACGTATGCTCGAGACATTGGACAGCCTCCAGTTTGATGAGTTCAATAAGGAGGGACGGGCAAAAAGAAAAACCTATGTGGACAGAATCCAGGTACAGCCTTCTGATGGGTACATCTCCATATTAAGTCTTGGCTGACATTTGATCATTGCTTCAGAGAAAAAAATATTGATAGAATTTTAATATTTTTTTTATCAGAAGGGTGGTTGAGAGTTGACATTAAAATTTGATTGTCTTTTTTTCTTAATAAATTCCTTATACTTGTACCAGTTTCGGAACACCTTGCTCAAAGTGCCAAATTAAGCTTAAACATGCCATGGTATGACACAGCATTTGTTTTAGTTCATCCATTGTCAACTTTCCTGTAGGAGACTACTGGACTGAAACGACTGAACTTCAGATTTTGATTTTATTTGGCACAGATCATCCACAGGTTAAGGAAATTCAATGTTAAATTGCACAAACAAGATGAAAAAATGAAGCTTTAAAGTGGCTCAAGTTATTAAACTTGTTAAAATATAGTACAGATTCATCTCAAAGTGCAATAGAGGTATGCCAAAAATGGAGTCAAACTGGAGGAGTAGAAGGGTGGATCCAGGAAATCAAAAGGGAGGGGGGATCCAAAATGTTTTTGAAGAGATATCTGTGTCGACATCTCGGGCAGAAGATACAAGATTGACAGACTAAAGCTTCTTTGTGAGGGTGAAGGTGCCAGCTCCTCCAGCTTTGTGAGGGTGAAGGTGCCAGCTCCTCCAGCTTTGTGAGGGTGAAGGTGCCAGCTCCTCCAGCTTTGTGAGGGTGAAGGTGCCAGCTCCTCCAGCTTTGTGAGGGTGAAGGTGCCAGCTCCTCCAGCTTTGTGAGGGTGAAGGTGCCAGCTCCTCCAGCTTTGTGAGGGTGAAGGTGCCAGCTCCTCCAGCTTTGTGAGGGTGAAGGTGCCAGCTCCTCCAGCTTTGTGAGGGTGAAGGTGCCAGCTCCTCCAGCTTTGTGAGGGTTAAGGTGCCAGCTCCCCCAGCTTTGTGAGGGTGAAGGTGCCAGCACCTCCAGCTTTGTGAGGGTGAAGGTGCCAGCTCCTCCAGCTTTGTGAGGGTGAAGGTGCCAGCTCATCCAGCTTTGTGAGGGTGAAGGTGCCAGCTCCTTCAGCTTTGTGAGGGTGAAGGTGCCAGCTCCTCCAGCTTTGTGAGGGTTAAGGTGCCAGCTCCCCCAGCTTTGTGAGGGTGAAGGTGCCAGCTCCTCCAACTTTGTGAGGGTGAAGGCGCCAGCTCCTCCAGCTTTGTGAGGGTGAAGGTGCCAGCTCCTCCAGGGCTATTTCCGGATGGCATTTAGTTTTGATTCTCATGTGAACTTTCAAATTAAGTTTGCATATAAAATTTTCCGACAACTTTGGGAGTGTGTGATCGTAGAATCAGCTGATCCAATGTGAGATGATCTGACTAATGCAGAGTTTGAAATTCAACAGAAAGTTATTGATGTTTTTTGTGTTTCTGCCTTCTGTCACACCTCACTCTTACATTGTCATTATAAAATACTTCCTTATACCTTGAATTTAATATGATTCACAAATTTGCTCGGAACACAAATGGATTGCCTCGTCAATGACATGATTGCTTCCACAAAATTATTTTTACCTGTTGCACCAAATGATCTGTCAAGCCTTGTTTTACAGACACTTCTGGACCGCTGTGATGGTTTGCTGAGGGGCGTGAAGGACATAGAAGCCAGGTTTGGCATATTTTGAACCTTGACCTCTGTACTCAAATCTGAACTTTCACCCTTTGACCTGAGCACTGCACCTGCATGAACTTACTTTAACCTGTATAAAACTTTATGGTTTAACACTTTCACTAAGTGGATCGCTTTGGGATTCTGCATTTAATTAAAAAATTCTGGAACTGTATAAAAAAAAGGATTATAACCCTACTGGTACCATCATGAATGGTAATCCTTTGTTGTGGATTTTTCTGTGATATTTCCAAATTCAACAAAACTTTTGAAATGTCTCCTAATTTGAAATTTACATTAAATTCTGAGTGCCAAAATGTTATAAAGTTTTTGCATGTTTATAGAGTGTTTTTTCTGTTTTGATAAATTTATTGATATACAATATAAGTTAAGGTGTAAATGTGTTTATTTTAATGTATTTTTATATATATATAATACTTGTATATTATTCTCTACCAATCTACAATTTAGTGGGATATTTCATTTTCTATTTAACTTGGAAAATATGACAAAATTCAGTCCTTTAAAGACTGGGATGTTTTGAGCTGAAAAAACAAAGTTTGAAAATTAGATTATTGGTTTTGAAACTGTTGTTTACATTTTGTGAAAAACTTTTGGATTTTTGAAAATGGAATCATGAGTGTTATACACCTTAACCACAAAGTAGTTATCAGTAGAAATTCTGTGACATATATAACCGCTATCTGTACAACTATCCAATGTTTATTTGGTCAAAGTGACCACATAAAATTTCTTAAAGAGCTGAGATCTAGTGAATACACTTTTTTGGTGAGTATTAAAAACATTGNTATAGACTCAGGTGACCGTTAAGGCCCATGGGCCTCTTGTTATTTTATAGACTGAGCTTAATCGGACATTCACAAGACCTATTATATATATTTCTGTTAGTCACGGAGTCAAAACCTGGCACCAATCTTTCTGGCAAACCTTTCGTCTTAATGCTCTCAATTTCTCGACACCTTGTCTCTCCCAGTGAAAACTTCTGTGGTGGATTGGTGTATTATTATTCATCTTTCATTGTAAAACGTGTGACATATTTATAAGTGTATAAATATTATTTTTGGGTTTGGTTTGCATTTTAGGTATTTTTTACAGTAAATGTAAATGTTACGATTCATGTTTCTGATGCATTTCCTTGATTCTTTTCTTTAACTTTTATAACAATTAAACTATGCAGAAATTTGCTTTATCAAAACATTGATTTTAGTGGGGTTCAGTTTGTATTAGTTATCATGGCTACTGTTTGAATAGATTAAAATTGTTTTAAGTCAGTGTGACCACGTCATAGGCAAGAACTCGTTCATGTTAACCCTTTCATCACTGTAGACCATAATGGACTGATCCATATCAATACATGGTCTACTTAAGTTACATAGGGGTGAAAGGGTTTAAGCGTTTGAAGGTCAGAAGTTAATGATCACTCTTTCTTTTACTTCAAATTGAAACTTCCTTTAAGGATCTGCTCTTGTGAAAAGTCAAAAATAAGAAGAATATGAGAAAATAAAAAGTACAATTCAATTCTGTTACACTATATCAAAACGAGTTTTGAACAAGATTTAAACCTAAGAAGAACAGATCTTTAAACAGATACAAAGTTTATAAAAGGACTAGGGACAACAGGTAACTTGTATAGGACCGCTTCTGATGTATAATACGTAACATCAGAAATAAGGTATTCAATACAATATTTTCTATATTGGAAATAAGTGATACTTTATATAGAGGATATTTAATGGTTTCCTGTCCAGTACCATATATTTAATTTCATGCATTTTTTCTTGACAATAACACTGGTTAACGGTTATTACCAGATAGTTTGACAAAAGGGAGATAATTCAGTAGTCGCATGTGACAGACATGAATAGCCTTGTTTATTAACACCTGAATAGAACTGCATGTTACTTTAGATATGATTTAATTCTGGTGCCAAAATGTAGAAACTTGCAGCAATGGTATTGATAATTTCCAATGATAAAGAGAGACCTCAAACTGTATATGGTACCAATATAACTGGCTTGATGCACGTCACGCCCGCGCCCACTACACACGCTTACAGTATACATATTGTGCTAGGAAATTGCACTTGTATGTTTGAACAAGGTTCAGTTTTACTCCCTCTTGTACAAAAACTATTAACATGTCTTTAGTTTCTAAAAAGTTTCTAATGTGAAAAAACACAAGCATAGTTTTCATAACTTTAGCCAGTTAGTATTAGAGACATAATCCTGCAAGTAATTAGTGCCTTCATTTTCTCTTCGAATTCCTCTGTGTAGTGTATGGTATCAGTCTTTTGGGAATTAATTGAAAGTATTTGCATAATGACATGTACAAAAGATTTCAAAGATTCCCATTAGCTTCTATATATGTATATTATTTTCCCCCGCTTTCACCAAAACGGGGGATTTCAATTTGGGTTTGTCCTTCTGTCTGTCTGTTACGCTTCGTTTCCGTGCAATAACTACAACAAACGTTAACCGATTTTCTTCAAACTTCACAGGGTTAAATGCCTTAAGGGCTCGTCCAAGTTAGATGACCACTTTCAGCGAACCCCATTTGGCAGAGTAATGGCCCCTTGAATAACGAAAAACGTCATTATCTGCCGTTTCTGTTCATTAACTTTCGCAAATATTATCCGATTGTCTTCAAACTTAGTAACAGGGTTCAAAGCATCAAGTTTGACAACCACTTTAATAGGACTCCATTTGGCAGAGTTCTGGTCCTTTGATTAACGAAAAACATCATTATCTGCAGTTTCCACTTAATAACTCTAGCCCAATTCCTTCAAACTTGATAACAATGTTGTGTTCCTCTGTCTTTCCACCCATCTCGGGCACTCTTTGGTTTTTGTGTGATAATTGCTGTAGATATTGTTCAGATGTTTCAACCGAATTCCGTTTGCATATCCGACTCATGCTAAGTTTGCCAACCGATGTGATTTGTGCATATTAACGGAGAATCAATGAGGTATAGCAATAGGTCTTTTTTTCTTTCTTCAATTTTCAAGCTATACAATATGTCTCAACTGCACGATACTAACATGTTTAAACCTAACCTCAATAATGTTAACCTACAATATGTCCTGCAAGCGGGGGATATAAATTCCACGAATTTGCTTGTTAAATCTTAACACTGTTTCGTACATAAATATGATGGGGAGATCTAGAGACGCATGGAGGGTGAGGTCTAAGATAACTTCGTACATTTGTATATTAGGGTTCATGAAAAATAATTGCATGCTTTGGATGTCTTCCTGCAGCCCCTATCAATATAATTGTTAATGGAATAGTCCTGCAGCCCCCATCAATATAATTGTTAATGGAATAGTCCTAAGAGCTATGTTACAATGTATTACCGATGCAGTATTACTTACAATTTTCAAGTCAAGTGTGTGGTTAACTAAGCTGTAAATGTTCCTTTTGCAATACATTGTATTCTGTTGTGTTAATTTTGAGCTTCCATATATATGGGTTTTATCTGCAATAAAGTTAATTTGTTTTAAAAATTTCTTTTTTATTTATTATATTCATATACCATATGTATTGTAACAAGGAAATGTATTGCAAGGCAATCCATTGTCCACCACCGGCAATTATTTCTATATTTTTGATGATTTTATAAACAGTACACTTATGTCAAACTTTTTCAAAAAAGTAAAGGTCAAAGTTCAAGTCATAGGTCACAGTGACCTAATTCTTGAACTCTGCCATTCCAAAATGTCCTTGTACACCAAATCTGGATACTCCATGTGAAATGGTATAGAAGATATTCCCGGACAAAAAATTTCAAAAGTAAAGGTTAAAGGTCAAAGCATAGGTCACTGTGACCTAATTCTTGCATTCTTCACTACACCATCCCTAAATGTCCTTGTACACCAAAACTGGTTACTCCAGGTGAAATAGTATAGACGATGATATGCCCCGGACAAACATTTTTAAATGTTAAGGTCAAAGGTCAAGTCATAGGTCACAGTGACTTAATTCTTGCACTCTGCCAGTAGAGAGATAGAACTGATATGGGATGTATTATGTTATACAGATTTTAATGTTTGGCTCAGAACTGAGAAGAGAAAGTCACAGGGTAAGTTTTCAGGATTTGCAAATGAACCTCACTATATATTCATAAATAATTCAAATCTACTTCTATTTTCTAGCATGGAAGAGAGTTGACAGAAAGGAAAAGGTCTGATGGATGTACTTGGAGATAACTTAGCGTAAAGCAGTTTAATTTATTAAATGGATTGTTTGATGCAAAGATCTGCATTATAGTGCATAGAGACCATATCACCAGTGAAAAACAAAATGTGTGATTACTGATGAAATGACTGGCAATGATACAACTCGGAGGTACCAGGTGTTCCGTCAGAATTTGTCAAAAGAATCAGGAAACAACTGTAACATTTTGTGGCATACTTGATCTCATGTTATGGAAAATCAGGGAACTATCTCTCACCACATTCCTGACGGCCTTACAAATAGCCAAATCATTGCAGCTATGACAATCAGTGATTCAGGAAATAAAACCTGTTGGTGTAAATTTAAACAGCTACTAATGAGGTACGCCTCGAAATAGCAGCAAACCAAGGATCAACGAAAAATAGCAGCAAACCAAGGATCTACGAAAAATAGCAGCAGACCAAGGATTTACGAAAAATAGCAGCAAACCAAGGATCTACGAAAAATAGCAGCAAACCAAGGATCTACGAAAAATAGCAGCAAATCAAGGATCCACGAAAAATAGCAGCAAACCAAGGATCTACGAAAAATAGCAGCAACCAAGGATCAACGAAAAATGATGGGAATCTCTTCTCCTATAGCATAAGAGGCCACTTGTTGGCCTATTTTCTATCGGATATGATTTCGCCAACTATCAAAAGTATCTTGCTGTGTAAACCTCTAACACTGTTCGAGTAGGGGAATCTCAAGGCTACAGCCAAGTGGAGATCTGAAAACAACAGCCAATGGGATATTATAACATGAGGTATCTAAATACAACAACTTCAGCGGAAGTCAATGAGAATTTTTTAAAACAACCAATAAGGGGTCTCTAAAAAGATATTGTCGATATCCTCAATATCCACGGGTTACGCTCACTTTCGCTCTCTGCAACCCTGGATTATGTCATAGCAAAATTTAAGGCACAAAGGTAGCCGTTTGATTGGTGTCGGGTAAAAATGTAGAGAGCGAAAGTGAGCGTAACTCCTGGATATCGAGGATGACATTGGAACAGAGCCAGTTTAACTTACATAACATGACTACGTTGAAGTTAACCAAGTTTAAGTGGCATGCTGATGGAGTGGTATACATAACATGACTTAATATGGAAGGAATGCACTTTAGATACTGTAACCCAAAATATGGAATGGATTTTACTGTAAAAATTGATTGGGTTGGAAAGTGCTGAAATTTTCGTTGAAATGTCCAAAATGTACCTGATAACTACATTATCTGGAGATTCAAACATAATTTCACAGTTGCAATATTCCAGCTACTGTATTATCAAAAAAGTAAAAATTGTGAATACCCTAATATTTTTTAATTGTGAATACCCTAATATTTTTTTGATACTATACATCCATATACTATCACAAGTGTAGCAAATTGGTTGCTTTTATGGAAAATGTTGAAATTATTTTAAATGTTGTATGTAAAACTGCCAATTTTTGTAATGATAATCTAGGCAAGCAATATGAAATGTCACTAATGTTTTTAAAAATACATGTATGGAAGTTATGGAATTCGAAAAATATTGGTAAGAAATTGAACTATCTACTGTGGTCACATGTGTTCTTTATATTTAACTATAGGCAGGGTTTTATTGGACCAGTGCTGTGGTTCGGCAGGGTTTTATTAGCTCACCTGGCACGAAGTGCCAAGTGAGCTTATGCCGTGGCGCGGCGTCCGTCGTCCGTCCGTCCTCGTCCGTCAACTTTTCCTTTAAACAACTTCTTCTGAAGAACGGACAGGCCTAGAGTCATGATATTTGGCTGAAAGCTTTGTTGGTAGGAGCCCTACAAAGTTTGAGAACGAAAATGACCTTGACCTGTTTTCAAGGTCACAGGGGTCAAATATGTCAAAAACTTCAAACGACTTCTTCT